TATAACAACTTCACTTCTCACGACTACTATCCTTGATATTTCCATCTACAATTTTGACTTAATTATTGTCATAACAACTTCACTTCTCACGACTACTATCCTTGATATTTCCATCTACAATTTTGACTTAATTATTGTCATAACAACTTCACTTCTCACGACTACTATCCTTGATATTTCCATCTACAATTTCAAAGGTTCTCTTTCTGTTAAATTTTTCGCTACTCCTAAAATGTGCAAAAGAAAAATTAGCTATAAATCTACAATAAACAATTCTTCTAATTACACTTTTTTTCTGAGTAATACATATATTGAGATCTAGAAATTGCTTGTTTATCAGTCTAAAGAATTTCCTTGGGCAGATTTAAACTCTGATCATATAAAACCTGATTACAAAAAAGATTACTTATTTATTTAAAAAGAAAAGTACAGTAAAAATCCTCACCTTCAAATGTGTCATCTCCTTCAGACATCAGTTCATCATCCGAACAGATACTCAAAACATTTACCAACATCTCTGTAACTGGAACCATAAAGAAACCAAAACATTACTAGTTCTGGAATTTGTTCAGGATATTCAGTAGGAATTCTTTATCTATTATCAAACTGGAATAAAGAAACATATTTAAACTTAAATTATTTGAGGAATGGATTTTTAAACTGACCACTTTAAAACCTAAAATAATTAAAAGCCATAACTGAATGTCACAAAAAGGAAAGGAAATAATTCACGCAGTTATTTCTAGACAAAATAACTGCTTTTGGAAATAAACAGCTTATGTCCATTAAAACATAGTGAAATGTTACTTTTTTGAGCCTTTTGCATTTGTTACTTTTCACATAAGCACAAAAGCAGTTAGTTAACATAATCTTTACTCCAATTTGAATAGAATTGACAAAGTAATATTTCTTTGTAAGATACACAAAATTTGTACCAGAATAGGTGAAAAAGACTGTAGTTTACAAATGAAATCCATTTATATACAGCATAGTGCCACATTAGTCTCTCTAACTCCCACAAAAGAACATTGCACCATGCTCACCTTGTTCAAACATAATAGCACAATATGGAACAATCTCCACCATTTTCTTCCATGAAAACAGAGCATAGTACTTCACTCACCTTTCTCTCCCACAAAAGGCAAAGACCACGTAAAAACATCCATGAAGTTTGGTAACCAATATGGATGGGGGGAGCAGTTGAACTGCCTAATATTCATGACATTATTTTCATACTTTAGAACTGCAGCTGAAATTAATAAAATGATATATTTCTGAAGTTATTCTTCATAAAATAACCCATTCAATTATCATGTGATTAATATAAAGTAACTAAAGATTTTATTGGAATGACTTTTGAATTTGAGAACAGAACAATTATTAAATAAACATACTGATTAAAAAAAAACTTTTCCAATCTTGAAACCAACCTATTCAGAATTTATAAGGAAAGAATGCCCTAGCTCTTACTTTATAACTTGTTTTTAATAATTAAAAAGATCAACATTCATGAGTGAATGCAATGTCTTCACCTTACAATCCCAACATGGCCAATTCTGACACCAGAAAAATTGTGAAAAACACAGAAAAATCGAAACTGTCT